GCACAAACACACCACACGCTTTCTTCTTTCTTTTCTTAAACCTGGCTGCAATCCCACCACATGTGTGATTTTTATGTTCTTGATATTATATTTTAAATCTTTCTCTGTGGACATAGTGTTTATAATTATTCAGCGGTTCTCAACTAATGATGGTTTGACCTAATGATTTTTTACTTTAAAATAGTCATTTTATGAAGTCAGCATTATCCTGATACCAAAACCAGATAAAGACACTATAAAAAAAGAAAATTACAGGGCAATATCCTTGATAAACGTAGATGCAAAAATTCTCAACAAAATATTACCAAACTGGATTCGACAATACATTAAAAGGATTATAGATCATGACCATGTGTGATTCATCCCAGGGACACAAAGATGGTTCAACATTCATAAATCAATCAATGCAATACATCTCATTAACAAAATAAAAGGTAAAAACCATATGATCATCTCAATAGATGCAGAAAAGCAGTTGACAAAATTTGACATTCTTTTATGATAAAAACTCTCAAAAAAGTGGGTATAGAAGGAACATATTTCAACATAATAAAGGCCAGATATGACAAACCCACAGGTAACATCATACTCAATGATGAAAAGCTGAAAGTCTTTTCTCCAAGATCAGGAACAAGACAAAGATGAATACTACCACTTCTATTCAGCATAGTACTGGAAGTCCTAGCCATAGCTATCAGTAAGACAAAAAATAGAAGATATTTAAAATGGGAAGGAAGAAGTAAAACTCTCATTATTTGCAGATGCCATGATACCAAATATAGAAAACCCTAATGATGCCACTAAAAAAACTATTAGAACTAACAAATGACTTCAGTAATGTTGCAGGATACAGAATCAATATACAGAAATGTTACATTTTATACACCAATAACAATCAGAAGAAGTCAAGCAGACAATCCCATTTCAGTTGTATCAAAAACTATAAAATACCTAGGAATAAATTTAACCAAAGATGTGAAAGATCTGTACTCTGAAAATTATAAAACAATGAAGAAAGAAATTGAACAAAATATAAATAAATGGAACGATATACCTTGCTCATAGATTGAAAGGATTAATATTGTTAAAATACACTTACTACCCAAAGTAATATGCAGATTCAATGCAATCCCTATTGGAATACCAATGGCATTCTTCTCAGAATTAGAACAACTTAATCCTAAAATTTATATGGAACCACAAAAGACCCTGAATAGCCAAAGAAATTTTGAGAAAAAACAAAGTGGGAGATATTATGCTCCCAGATTCCAAACCCTACTACAAAGCTACAATCAAAACAGTATGGTACTGGGATAAAAACAGATGTATAGATCAATGGAATAGAATACAGAGCCTAGAAATAAATTCTTGCTTATATGGTCAAGTAATATATGACAAAAGAAGCAAAGATATACAAAGGGGTAAAGACAGTCTCTTCAATAAGTAGTGTTGGCAAAATTGGACATATACATGCAAATAATGAAAATTGACCACTTTCTTACACCAGATACAAAAATAAACTCAAAATAGATTAAAGACTGTTAGACCTGAAACCATAAGACTCCTAGAAGAAAACATAGACAGTAAACTCTTTGACATTGCTCTTAGCAATCTATATTTTTAATATATCTCCTTGAGCAAGGGGAACAAAGAAAAAAATAAGTGAATGGGGCTATATCAAATTAAAAGTTTTTGCACAGCAAATGAATCCATCAACAAAGCGAAAAGACAACCTACTGAATGAGAGAAGATATTCATGAATGATACATCCNATAAATGAATGGGGCTATATCAAGCTAAAAGTTTTTGCACAGCAAATGAATCCATCAACAAAACGAAAAGACAACCTACTGAATGAGAGAAGATATTCATGAATGATACATCCGATAAGGGGTTAATATCCAAATATATAAAGCACTCATATAACTTTATACCAAAAAAAAAAAAAAAAACCAATAAAAAAATGGGAGAGGACCTGAGTAGACATTTCTTCCAAGAGGACATACAGATGGCCAACAGACATATGAAAAGAAGCTCATCATCACCAATCATCAAATGCACATCAAAGCCACTATGAGATAACATCTCACACTTGTCAGAGTTGCTATCATCAGTAAGTCAACAAATAACAAGGGCTGGTGAGGATGTGGAGAAAAGGGGACCCTTGTGTACTGTTGGTGAGAATGTAAATTAGTGCAGCCACTATGGAAAACAGATGGAGATGCCTCAAAAAATTAAGAATAGAGCTGCCATGTGATCCAGCAATTCTACATCTGGGTCTTTATCTGAAGAAAACAAAAACATTAATTTGAAAAGATATGCACCCCTATGTTCATTGCAGCATTACTAGTAATAGCCAAGATATGGAAACAACCCAGATGTCCACCAATAGATGAATGGATAAAGAAGATATGGTATATATACAATGGAATATTATTTAGCAATAAAAAAGAATGAAACCTTGACATTTGGATGGACGTAGAGGGTATTATGCGAAGTGAAGTAAGTCAGGCAGAGAAAGACAAATACATATGAATTCACTTATATGTGGAATCTAAAAAAAACCAACCCCAAATAAATAAACCAAAAAAACCCAAAAACGAAACAAAGAGAATCATAGATATAGAGAACAAGCTGATAGTTGCCGAAGGGGAGGGGACAGAAGAAAATGCGATGGNGAAAGAGAATCATAGATATAGGGAACAAGCTGATAGTTGCCGAAGGGGAGGGGACAGAAGAAAATGCGATGGGCATGTACAGGACAGGGAATATAGTAACACTGCAATAACCTTGTAAGCGATGATAGGTGGTTACTAGACTTAGCATGGTGATCACTTTGCTAGGTATATTAATGTTGAATAATTATGTTATATACCTGAAAGTAATATAATAATGTATGTTAACTATATTTTAATAAAAATAAATAAAAAACAAGATGGGGCAAGGGATTGTTGGCTTACTCAGTTCTGTTGTCCCCTTCATATCTTACCTCTTTAATTTAAAATGTTTAATTTAAAGCACACCTTAAATATTGAGGTATAATAATAATGAATTGCATCTATGATCTGGGTTTTCTCTGGGATCATTGTTCCCTCGTGTATGAAAAAATAATCCAGCTCTATCCACTTTACTAGACCACTAGGAGATTGTTTTCTGGAACACTCTTTAGCTACATAACCCCTGTTTGTGTTTAAATTCTTTATGTTGTTGTAATACTTAACTGTATTTGAAACATGTGAAAGAATTGTATGTTGAACCCTCTGAACCCACCAACCAGCTTCAACGATTATCCACATTTTGTAAATCTGATTCCTTCTCCCTTCCTCCCTGTACGTTTTTGGCAGAGAGGAGTGCTGGAGTATTTTTAAGCAGGTCTCAGACTTCATATGCTTTTTCTCTTAAGTACTGTAGTTTGTGTATCTAACAGAGAAGGCCCTTCCTTTTTGTAAAATATAGCAACAATGCCATTATTGCACCTACAAAATTAGTAGTAATGCAAGACTTCCTTGAATTTTTAGTGAATTCAGGATGGAAAGAGTATTGGGATGAAGCAACTTGGGCCTGAGTTTATCTCCTTTCCTCCAGAAAAAAAAAAAAAAAAAA